TAAATGTATGATAAATGATTGCCTCTTTACCCGCGTGGTCATCCACGACCGATCCATCTGAGAGTTTGAGTGTTGGTATTGTGTTTCGTCTGTATCTCTCCGATGCCAGAGCTTTCAGAAATTTAGGGTCTTCGTCTCCAAATTTTATCCAACGGATAGTGCATCTTTTTTGCCAGTATTGTCGTTGATAGCCCAGCAGCCGAAGGAGGTGCCTTTTCAGGATTGTCCTGAAGTTCTGCTCTGGTGTGGAGAGGGCTCTAATGTTTTCAATAGCATCAAGATTGGCTAATGCAAGATTAGAATTGTCGATCGCCACTGTTAGTTTAGAGATTCTTTTACTCCACCACTTCAACTCATATCTTAGTGCTTTGAATTTTCTGGCTAGCAAAGTGGCTGCATTGGAGGTATGCTTGAAGGTTCTTGACCAGACCGATTGGACTAACTCAAAGAAACCAGGATGTTCAGTCCAATAAGATTCGAACCTAAATTTTTTACTGCGTGGAATGGATGTTTCAATTTTCACCACACACGGGATATGATCAGAAACTGGTTTTCCCAAGGGCACCACTAGTGTGTTGGGGTATGAAGATGTCCAATTGTTGGAAGTGAGGAACCAGTCTAACTGTTCCAGCAGTGGATCAATCTGCATATTGCTCCATGTGTAGGCCCTGCCCTTGATTGGCAGTTCAATTAGCTGATTCGATCGAATGATGTCGTTGAAAGTGATCATGTCATTTGGATTACCTCCAGGCTTGTTCCTGTTGTCGGGTCCACGTATGTAATTAAAGTCTCCCAATAAAAGCCAATCATCATTAGATGGAATATTAAGATGTCGGAGCCAATTTGTATAAGTCACTCTAGAATCCCCTTGGCATGGGCCATAAATATTCACCAGCGTCCATTCCTGGGAAGACTGTGTGGAACGAAACTTAATGGCCAACGCAAAATTTTCTTCCATAATCACAGAGCCAGTAAAGATGGCACTATTCCAGATTGTGACGATCCCTCCCGAGGCCCCATTCGAGGGTATGTAAGCAAATTTGTCAAATCTCTTCGGGCAGCAAGATTTAATGAACGTATTATCAATGGTGGGTTTTTTTGTTTCTTGCAGACAAATGATAGCACAACCACTAGAAGCGATAGCATTAGATAGCGCTAAAAGTTTAGGTTCAGAGTTTAAGCCACGTACATTCCAGCATAGGATATTCCAATTCAACAAAGCAGACATGAAAGGATAAAGAAAAATAGGTAAGCCTCTCAGCAAGCACTTTCAAATACTTCAAGCCTGGGGCGGGCCGTCCGCAGAATCCGCCATGAGAGCTTCTTCAGAGACCTCGGCTGGCGGGATGGCGCACTTGCTAATTCCAATGTGCTGCAGAACCTGAACTGGAGTAGGCGGCGGGATATAGTCCCCCTGATTGACTGTGTGATCAACTACCTCCATAGGAGTATCCGTAGCGGAGGGTACAACTCGGGGTTTAACTTTAGAGGGTTTTGGCTTAATGTCAGAGACAGAAGGTACCTTAAACCCATCATATTTGTTGGATCTATTGCTGCGACGCACCTCCAGCACAGATGCTGGAGCTTTGGCTTTGCCTTTCCTGACTACTGAAGTGCCTGCACCCAGATCCACCGCATGGGGAGCAATCAAAGTCTTGGTGGCTTCAGTTGATGCTTCAGTGATAGCGTTGGGAAGCTGAGGAAGCACTGCATCATCCGGAGCAGTTAGGCTCAGAGCATTAGTGTTAGTAGGAATCGTCACATCTGACGGCACATCCTGATCGAGACCAGCATCAATCTCAGTAATGACAACCTTGGAAGTAGCAGCCCGGGGGAGAATGGCAGATTCCTCAAAAGACATAGGCGCATCATCTCCCTGGTGTAGAGCCCATGAGGTGTGACCAGGAATGAGGATAGTACGAGAGGCAGAGTCAGCAGAGTGTTTGACAGTTTTAGATGCTGACCGAACAGAGAAATGTCCATTTGTCTCCTCAACATTGACCGAGAATTGCACTGAACTATCCCGAAAACCAAAACCTGAACTCCAAGGGCCAAAAGCAGCAATGATAGGCCGGATAGCAGCAGTGAGGTAGGTGTTGAGCCTTAGCATAGGCACACACTCATTCAGCAGGAGCGAGGCATAGCTGTCATGATCTGAAGGCATGGAGAATTGCATACCAGCATTGGATATAGTCAGGGTCAGTTCAATACTGTTTACCTCAGGTGGAGCCGCGATCGGGCCCTCGACAGAATCACTGGACTGAGCTGTGTCGACAGACAAAACACCCAAGGCCGATCCATTACCAGAAAGCAGTTGGTTGAAGATGTTTAAAGGGACGATGGCGAAACCCTCAGACAGAGTAGCACTGGAGTCTGAGCTGCTAAAAACAGAGATTGAGTCGTTCCAAGCAGCAGCCGGACTATCTTGTAGGTTATTGAGAGGCTGAATGCCATGGTGCACCTGCAAACCTTCTCCAGCTAGCCAGGCCTGGAAGTTGAACATTGCGGGAGGTGTATGTGGTGGGGATGGGGGCCAGACTCGCCTATATAATGATCATTGCCTAGATATCGTCGTGATTATTTGAAGTTCTATCAATTGCCCAACAGTAATTCATTTACCCACCGTTTGCTATTTTTCTCGAGAGAAGCCACTAGTGAAATCTACGGCCCCGGGGTCTCTTTCTTATATTATTTTCCTTTTATTTCCAGATCTATTTTATTTTCCTTTTATTTTTAGATCTATTAACCCAAAAATACAAAAATACCTTGCTGCAATTTATTTTATTTGGCGTTCGATCTATCAATATTTACAACTCTGTCACCTTCGTTTGCCAATTTGTGGCACCGTTACTTGAAAGGGATTGACAACCCCTTTTACACGTCGGGTTGCGGGTATTTGTTATTTATATGTAGGTGTTGTTTACGTAGTGTTGCTTGGTTCTCCTACTGGTTTGATAACTTTGGTTTCATCACTGAGGGAAATACCTACCGTCATTGTGCTGCATCATCCTTCCTCTTTGGGGAAATACTGACTTAGCTTCAAGCCGCATCAAGCAGCTGCGCCTACCTGCCCCCAAAGGAAGTCCCAAAGGTTTCCTCTTTGGTGCAAGAAGACCAAGACGATGGATTGGCAGGACGGAGGTCAGCGTGGAGCTCTCCACGCGTCATGGATAACACTTTTGGCAGGCGAAGACCACCTTTTGTCAGGATAAGCATCGGTGCATGTCCCCTTTCAAATTGCCGCCCTGTGGTAGCCCTTTCCCGCTCATGATTTCGTGGAGGAGGCCAAGGCACCTATATAAGGGGCAGTGCGGCCACTGCAACAAGGATCCGAAGATCGACCCCTAATCATCCTCTTGCGCTATTGTTGACACCCAAGAGCTCCGACTCATCTTGTAGCTCCAAGAGCACTGTCCACAGGCAATACAACCAAGCAGGAGTAGGGTTTTACACCGCATGGTGGCCCGAACCTGGGTTGCTCGTTGTGTCTTTGTCATGCCCAGCTCGCAGCCTTGTAGCCGCAAGCCAAGTCCCGGGAGTTTTAACTAGGGTTTTGGAGGATTTCCCATGGCTCGGAATCAATCCCGCGACAATTAGATCATAGGTCAACAGATGTTGCAAAAACTCTCGGCGAATGCTCTCAAAACTTGACGTAAGTTTGTGACTTTGTGGATGGAAATGATGAAGATATTTTTAGGAGGAGGCTTACAAACATTTTGGGGCTTGGTGGTGCAAGGGAAAATGGGTGTCCAATGCAACAATAGTCTTTAGTGTTTAAATAAAAAAGAAAAGGCAAGGGTTTAGAGGTAAAACCCCAAGTCAAAGCAACCAAAACAAGTCACATATCAAGAGTGCAAATAAAATCCAAAAACACTAAAAGAAAAAGACAAAGCCAAATATGAAAAAGAATTTTCCAGGAGTGTAAATCCAAGGTGTTCCACGACCGGACCACCGAGCGATGGATACAGGCGTGCCTTTGATGGAAAAGCACGTCCGGACCACACGGTCCGGTCGGTTTGAGGTTCCGCGTTGGAGATGCCCTAATACCGTACGTCCTACTTGTGTTTTATTGCATTGGAGTGTACAAAGTATAGGTAAAGTACAAAGGGATTAGATATATCTATGACGAGCTCAACCTCTAGCTTATATAACATACCAGCGGTCCTAGGGTTTACACAACTAGGTCGGCTACATCAGAAGGTAGAGTCCTCCACAACTCCAGTATCGTCAGATTGTTCTCCAAGTCTTTGAGTCTTCTTGTAATCCGCTATGGGCTGCCCAAAGTGGCCCGGGACAGAACCAACCTAGGGGTTATAGCCTGGCCCACCAGGCTAGGAACCAACGTGGCGAGGACCCCTTGGCCAGGACACCGACACTCTATATGTTGGTCAATTCATTATTTCACTCAATGCGACAACTTGATAATCACCATGTTGTATAACCCGGACGCGCCGCCGTGTTGTACCATAGGACCAAGGACATGCTATTTACGTTCATACATTGTTAAGTGAAGCTCAAAGGGCATAGTGCGTGAGACAACATGTGCAGATTCTAACTCGAGTAAAAAACTTGTCAAACATCCGATTGTCTTTGGATGTAATATTTATATTTAAACTATTATTGTATTAGGGATATTTGCATGTTATAAATGGATGAATTGTATTATTTCTATAACTATTGTACATGGTTGGATGGCGGAATCCGGTAAAAGTGTCCGCATGAGTCCAAACCAGTCTTTGGGTGTAATTGTGTCTATTTAAGGGTCGGCGTTGAAGATGTGGACTAGTAAACATGTTTGGATGGCGGCTATCATATCTGTGTCCATGGGGGAGTCCGGACTAGTTCATGGATAAACATTGCGTCGTCTATTTTAAGGGTGGGCGCCAAAAAGAATTGAATTGCAATCGTTTTTCCGCTCAAATTGTACCTTAGTTCTCGCATATTATAAGATGACACGTCTGCTAAAAAGCAAAAATTAAAGGGAAAAGGAGTTCTGCTAGCTATGCATCTCCGGGGCCACCATACTGGAAGGAAAATCCATCAGGACCATTTTCTGAAGCTGAAGTGACCATCACGTCGTATATGTTGGAGTTCTCGACGTCCTTGGTCGCCCTATATTTGAAGTTCGTGCAGCCGCGCATCTGTACCCCCTTGAACTTGGCGGCGCCATTGTTACTGCGGGGCCCCGGTGCTATGCCGCTGCCCATGGGAGGCCTCTTTCTCCCCGGTGGCGCATACACGATCCCTCCCACCTGGACCTGGGTGCTGCCGTCCATGCCATTGACTATGGCGGGTGGGAAGTAGCCGACCACCATTCCGTTGACGAAAATTACCCTGTTCCCGGTCGGGCCATACTGTAAACAACATGATAATAATTGCATTTCAGGAGCACTTGTCAAGACGTAGTTGTTCAGGAATGTGTGATGAATGAAGGTGATCTCACCCTGCTGATGGCTAAATCAATTGACGATCCACTTGGAAGGGCCATCCCAGGGGTGATATATTGGTTTACCACCACAAATCCAGGGCACTGCATGTTCAGGCAGCCCGTCTTTTTGTAGTCATCAGCCTGTATCAAAAGATATATTTCAGTGTAAATGTACCGTACAACATAAACAAAGTTTAGTCCATTGCATACAAATCTGTTACAATACGCACCGTCCAGAAAACCAGCAAACGACTCTGTCCGTCGCCTTCGCGGCCAGGATCGATCTGGTAGATGTAACAGGTGCTAGTGTCAGAAGAGACCACAGCAAAGGTGTGGTCACCTCAGCTTGTCAAATGTCAAAACTTACATGCCATCCAGCTTGCATGACGGTGACATTGCTTGACCTGTCATCCACAACCAGCATCTGAGCTGTGGAAGCAGCATCTGACGGCATAGGGAGATAATACACCTCGATCACAGCCCTCGCGCTCTGGAATGTCTTGCCTTTCTCGCAATCTAACAACACCTGGGCGAACTAGGGGAAGGCATGAAAAGTGAGAATGTCAATCTCGTTTCTCAGACAATGAGTAGTAGTCTTGTGAACCCAAACAATGATGGTTTAATGCAATATAAAGATTCAACACAAATCTATCTTAAAAACAATCGGGAGAAACGTTGACGATGGCAACTTACATGCTGCCCGTCAATTCCACTCGTGTCTTGCGTTGACGTTGGTTTGTACACCGGACGAAGTGCACGTCCCATTACAAGATCTTCTTTGAGAGTTCTCCGTATCGGGACAGTTCCATAAGGACAACTTTCCCCTGTTGTCGGTAGACCAGTGCCGGAACTTGAATTTGGCGGCATCTAATTCCAGACAGAGGTTTCTCAGAAAAATCTCTCAACACTCTGAGCATACCAAAGCAAAATAAGAATTGATGATACACAAGGTGATTTTTTTAAAAATACTACAAGGCGATGGGTTCCACAATGAAATAAATATTATTGCGGGGAAGAACATGTAATCATTATTTCAAGAGCCATGCATGGCATGCATATCTCCAACAAATCCGGATGGCCATTTTTCGTGAGCCATTTCCTATGGCATGTACCGTATCAAGTACAGTGCTCGGGAATACTACAAGGACATGTCAGAGTCTAACACAAGGGCAGATAGACCTGTAAATCTGACAACGATGACTAAAAATACTGATTACATCAAGAGTTCGTACCGTGTTTCTCAAAGGAAAAAAAAGTTCCTACAAATTTTTGACAGTAGAGACAGAATATATAGAATGATTACCTGTAGTATGTGGTTCTTCAGGAGAGGATGATCGAATGCGGGCTGCTTGTAAATGTCAACGCAGTCAAAAACTACCCCATAATTATCCTGCCATTTCATCAAATACAGAATAAGTACGTCGGATTTGGATTCTCTAATCATCTTGAGAACTTGACAACGAAGTGTTTGTTCCCATGGCATGGTTACCTTGAAGGATTTGACATAGGGCTTGTTAAGCATCTTGAGCTCTCTCTCCAGTTCGAAGTCGCTTTCCGAGATCGTTGAACTTCTTCCCCGGCCACAGCTAAAGAACAGAAAAGAGAGGAATAGCATCACAACGACCAACGGATGCCTCTTCATCTTAATCTTAACTTCTTGTTTGAAGATCGCCTACGACCTTGGGCCGTCCTTCGTGACGCAAACGCACATATATATAATTGCCGAAGTATAGGGTTGCATTGACAATGATGGAAAGTGTAAGGATTATATGGGAACCAGTAATTACGGAGAAACAACAAGATAACTCGGTGATTTCCTATTCTTATTGCGTTGATTCTGTTGTTCATAAAAGGAATTCATTCCTTTGATGGACGAATTCAACGCCTGATTCCGGGAAGGAATTGGCCATATACTAGCATTAGATGGCAATACCGAATCATACTTTGATTTTGTTACTACACTTTCTCAATGACCTCACGTTTAATTTGGCAATATGGATATGACCGGGCGACTTACGCCCGCCGCTGCAAAATTCCGACGCCCGCCACCGCAAACATCTCAGGTGACGGACATCCTATGATGCCCGCCACCCCAAACATTTTTCTTGTGTCAAATATTTTAATCTATCCATCTTCAATTATGGCAGTAAAACGAACATCAAAAATAATAAAACTTACATCCAGATTCATAGACCATCTAGCGAGGACCACGGTGTGACAAATTTGCACCTTTTTGAGTTGGTTTGCTATTTTCGCGGCATAAATTGAATTTCTGGCAACTAAAAAGCCGGACAAAAAAGCTTTGGGCATGCTACGAGGTACGGATGGGATGAAACTTTGCATGGTATCTTGGTTGGACACCTGTAGGGTGTGGTAAAAATTTGAGACCATTACGACAAAAACTTGATGGACATCATGTACAAACCGGACACTCTTCCACCAAGTGTAAGGGTTTCGAACGAAAACAACCACCTCACACACTCAAAACTAAATATAAAAGATATTTTGAACTTGAAACTTTTTCCATGAGTAATAGACGCTACCGGAAGCCCAAGGCAAAAAAATTACAATTTTTCGAGATGGTTTGCTATTTTCGCGGCATTAATGAATTTCTTGCAACTAAAATGGCAAAAGGCTTTGGGTGTCCAAACGAGCTTAGAAGCATGGTGTCTTCATTGGACACCTGTAGGGTGTGGTAAATATTTGAGACCGCTACAACCAAAACTTGATGCACATCATGTACAAACAGGACACGCTGTCGGATTACAGGTTCCGGTAAACCCTTGAGGTTCGAACACTGGGGTGCGTACGAAGATCTCTCTCCCCCTAGCTCATGCTCTCGCAACGATCTCACAGTCTAGCTCGCCGAACCCGAAGAACAAGGGACACAAGAGTTTATACTGGTTCGGGTCACCATTGCGGTGTAATATCCTACTCTAGTGTGGTGTGGTGGATTGCCTCGTAGGCTGGGGATGAACAAGTACAAGGGAAGAACAGCCTTCTGAGGCGAGGTGTTCTTGAGCTCGATGAGCTTGTGTGGTTGGGGATGATCTGAATGATCCGTCCCTCCATCAGCCTCTCCTGGCTACGGTGGTGACTAGCCCTATTTATAGAGGCCCCTCCCCAAATATTAGGCGGCAAGGGATCCCACAACGGCCAATTCGAAGGGGGGAAACGAGTACAAGTTATCCTGACAAAAAGTGGTCTTCTCCTGCCAAAGGCTCTGGTGGTGACGCCGTCGTGGGCTCTGTGGTGACATCCGTCTTGTTGTCCTGCTGATCTTGGTCTCCTTGCACCGATATGAAAATATTTGCCTGACGCCTCGGGACTCCTCGCCTCTGCCTGCCTCTTTAGCACTAAAGAGAAAACTGGCACTCTACGCCCGTTGGCGCCCGCCTGGCCTTGGTCGTCATGGCTCACGTCACGGAAACCTCACGAGGTGTCCCTCTCCTTGATCTCTCCGCTCCTCGCGAGCCAGCCTAGTGAGGTTGTCCCTGAGGAGGTCTTGTGTCGTCCGCCTCGCGAGGCTTGGCCCTTCGCGAGGGTCTTGAGTGTTGGTTGATGAAGATGGGCCGTACCAAGCCGCTGGTGGAGCCACGCCCTGGACCGTAAGCAGGCAAGTCTGGGTACCCCCCTTCCCACGACGTCGACAGTAGCCCCCGGGCCCAAGGTGCGCTCATGCTTGGCTTCGCGGCGAAGGCAAGGGGCAAGTGAGGAGCGCCGCAGGCCCCAATAGCCTGCTGCCTTGATTGATGCATGGCGACTGACGGGATGTGCGCGCCTCCACTTCCCCACGCAACCTCGATTTCCGCCTGGCTAGGCAACTATCATCGTCTTCATAGCTCCTCATCCCTTACAGGCAGCACTCTCCACCGCTCCCTCATCTTCCAGAAGGCTCCAGATCTCCTTCGCCGGCTCAATCTGACACCAACTTCCTGCGCCGCCATGGCACCAAGCCAGAAGAAGAAGGGAAAGAAGGAGTCCCGTACCTCAGCCCCTGCGACGCCAGTCCTCGAGCCCGCAATCCTGCGGTCGGTGGTGCTCAACCAAGAGGCGATGGGCAAGGTGCGCCCAGCACTCGCCACCGATTTCAATGAGTGGGGGCGACGGTGGCCTGGCCTGCTTCCCGCGCCGAAGTGGACATGATGGCCACTGAGGTCCCCATCCATCTCCATGCCCTCTGGGCAGGCTTGATTCCCCCCTTCTCCAATTTCTTCAATGTGGTGCTCTCGCATTACCAGATTAACGCGTTGCATCTTGATCCCCGATCCATCATCCTCCTTGCCGTCTTTGCCTTTATCTGTGAAGCCATGGTAGGCATTGCCCCTTCCGTGGCTCTGCTTCGCCACTTCTTCTTGCTGCACCTAACAGATCCTCTCCAGCGCTCTGGGTGTGTATCCTTCCAGGCCATCACGGCGATGGCCGGCTCGGGGATTGACTTCGAGCTGTCGCCAGTCGTCGGAGGCTTTAGAAAGAGGTGGGTGTTCGTGGATGTCGGCGTGCGCAGCCCTCTGCTGCTGCTCCCTCGGGTTCCAGCTGCTCCGAGCTCCAGGGGCACGCGAAGCTCACCGATTGGCTGCTCACCCATGTCTGGCTCCGGTTCGCCAGATTGAAGGACCTTGGTGTGACGGCGCCCATAGTGGTGAAGGACTTCATCTGGTGCCGCATCACTCCACTTCAGCGCCACTCTCGGCAAATGTGGACCTTCTCTGGCTGCTGGGACCGCATGAGGCTTCAGGCTCTGGCTCTTCCTCCTGAGGCGCGGCACACGGTGCTCGAGCTCCTGACGGGTGACCCGATGCCAGCCAACCTGCCGGAGGAGGGCTATCTTCTGTACTGCTGCTCGAACAAGGTGGAGTTCGTGAAGCAGATGCCCCTCTTTGATGAATGGGGACCACGCCCGGTCGGCCTTGAAGGGCCTCACGAGAGCCCTGTCTTCGTGGCCCCCCTTCCTGCTGCGAGCGCGATGCCCGCCCCGGGAGTGGATGCAAGGAGGCGGTTGCTGTCGGCCGATGGTGACGCTGATGCTGAGGAATCAGCACCACTCGGGGTTCCTGAGGTGCCGTCCCCCGGGACCCTAGAGAGCCGTCCAGAGGAGGCGGCCTGGGGGCGACGCAATCCGATGCTCCTGAGGCCGGAGCCCCGAGGCCTCGGTGAACCTCCACGAGGCGAGCACTGAGGTCTCAGCGCGGTCTGGCACCCCTGAGGTCGCCTCCTCAGGGGTCGCACCATCCGCGCCCGGCCTTGGTGACTGTGCCCAGGGCTTCGGCCAGCTCCACCCGAACTTTGCAGTGCTTCGCAAAAGGAGGGGATCTCCAGGGTGCAGTGGTGATGCCTTCCGGCCATTGAAGCAGAGGAAGTACATAGCTATTGACGAGTTAGTACCTTATCTTTGTAATTTCTAGGGTGCCGCTTCTCCTCCTAACCGCGATTCCTCAGGATCCCTTCTACCAAGGCGACAAAGCCTCCCGAGAAACAAACTCCTCCTGCCTCGAGTCCTCTGCTGACCTTAAGCGCCTCAAGCCAGCCTGCAACACTTGGTGTGAGGTTGGCCGGAGAGCCAAGCACGCCGGCTTGGCGTCTCGACCCTACATTCTTGCCTTCCGCTCTTCGCGGCCTTGCTTGGGGCGCGGAAGGTGTGCGGAGGGTTCCTCCTATGGTTATTGATCACAGCTGGGTGGCCTCGACTATGGCCTCTCCCTCGAGTAATGAGCCTCCGCCTCTCCGGGCCCCCGTCGGGGCCCGAAGGGCGGCTGGAAAGGCGCTGGCCTCCAGCCCCCTATTGGGAGGAGGCGAGCCACCTCAAACCTCTTCAACAACTCTCAGCGTGGAGGACGGACCCGGATGCGCATTCGAGCTTGCGCGTAGGCGGGGTGCCGTCCGTCACGAGCTCTTCCAGGAAGCTATGGGTGCGCTGAGCCGGCTCAGGGAAGAGCTTGTGTATGTGGATGCTCGCCTCGAAACCGAGGGTCTTCGGCTGGTGGATGAATGGCGTCAATTGAAGGTGGCCATCAACCTCGGGCGCCTCTAGCATGAGCGTGCCAACGCGAACGTCGAGGCATCACTTGCGACCTTGCGTGAGGCCAGCGCTCGAGCCTTGGAGGAGGCCATGGAGGCAGACCGTCGTCGTGAGGTTGCCGAGAAGCGTAGGAAGGAGCTTCAGGCCCTGAATGCCCTCCTGGAGCAGCAGACGGAGGCGCGCAGAGCTGCCTTGGCGTCGATGAAGGGGGTGCTGTCGTGGTTCTAAGTCTGACAGTAGAATGGGGGTAGGAATGTAGAGGCAAGATCCTAACTATGGAGGAGCTATACACGCGAGTTTTACGAGTTCAGGCCCTTCTCGGAGGAAGTAACAGCCCTACGTCTCGGAGCCCGGAGGCGGTCGACTGGATTATATGTGTGTGTGTGTGTGTTACAGAGAGTGCGAACCCCTGTCCCTGAGGAGGGGGTGGCTTATATAGAGTTCGCCAGACTCCTCCCGCCCTCAGTTACAAAGGGTTTAAGGTACATAAAGATGGGGACGTTAGTGGTAACGCCTGCAATAAAGATACATAATGACCATTAAAGGTATGACTTAATTCCCGACCGTTGCAGAGTGGAGTGGCTCTAGATCTCCTGGTAGTCGAGTGATTGTCCATACGGTCT